AATTGTACTCGATGTTGAAATTCTATTGGGTTAGACAAGAGAATAACACTAAGCTGAATAAAGGGCGCCTCAAATACCATTGGCTAAATCTTTATCTACGAGACGGGAAAAGTCCCTTTCATCAGCTGCCTTTTTGTCCATGAAATACTGCAATCTTTCGTGTCTTCGTAGGTGCAATCTTTGTTGCAATCGAAGCATTTATGTTTCTATCGGAATCTACGTCTTCTGCCTGGTAGTTCATAATCTTTCATCATCAATTGTGCCCGAAAGCTTGTTTTGAAAGGTAAGCCGACTTTCACGAAACTGACCGTTTGAAATCGAGATTTTGAAAGAAGCAGACATGCTGTGCATGAGTGCGTGCATCCTTCGCTGCTGAGACCTGAAAGGCAAAACTCTTAACAATAGTGCAGTCCAAGAGATCGATTCATCGTAATTAAATGTTCTCCGATAAGCCTTATTTTGTCCTGCACCTTTAGTATTTTTAGTTAGATTGGCTAAACGTCTTACGCTTCACTGCTAAAGGAATCATTTGTCAACTGTTGTTTTCTTATTTTATCGCGAAACCACTTCCAGTTGACCATAGCATGAAAATTACGCGGTAGATCTTTCCTCTTGTGTGACATGTAATCCTGATTAGACACACTTAGGCATCGTGTGTACTTTAAACAGGGTTGCAAGCGTCACAAATTTAAGAGGGAAAACTTAAACCCTTAATCTGACAAGCGTAGAATAATCTACGCCTATGACACCGTGAACAAACAATGATGCTTACATGAAGGAAGTTGCTCTCTAAGGACCCTTTAGCCTTGTTTTCATATTTAATATTGTTTACGAGTTTACTGAATTTTTTCGCGTAGTTTTATTCGATATTTCACTCGATTTTCCTGGCTTTGTCTTGAAGTTTCGATTTAAATATCCTGGAGGATGTTTAAAAATGGCGTAGGTGTATTGAGCTTTACATTCTAAAACCATATATCAAGCCCTGCATTAATCACCCAGGTGTAACTAACAGTCTGATGGCATGATATGCCGCATGACAAGAAGTATGAAAACGAAACTAAGTACCTGTGTTGCTCGGGCATATATATATATATATGTCATCTTAAAAGACAAACGGCTTGTCTTAGTTTTTTTTCTAGCATTAGAAGAATTCCTGAGTTTAATTTCTATTTTATTTGCTTTTGCGTGACGGGGCGACGCAGATTGCAGAATAATTACTTCTTGATTAGAATTACTTTCGAAACCGAAGGGTTTCACATGAGGATATCAGCATAAAGTGGAATACGCAAGGTCAAAACACCCTAATAGTCAAAACAAGCAGAGAGCATCTCTTATAAAGAGATAGAACAGTCCATTAGCATGAAGCTCACATTTGATTATGAAGTGAGTTTCATTCCTCTTGTATGCTCTAATTAATCTGAGTGGCAACCAAAGAACTGCGATTGAATATGAAAACAAAAAACCTGTGTTCCAAAGACTGTTTCTGATATCTTTCCGCAAGTTCGTCTACCATCCTCTAAAAACTGACAAATTCTCACATGATGAAGTTAGCATGGGAAAACGCCTCAAGAACAGACTCGTCAAAAACCTTTAACAGAGTGTCAATCATCTAAGGGAAAAGTCCCGAGCGTTATTGCTCGACTACAGATTAAAGTTCATTCACATTGATAAGTTCTGATTAAAGCCAACTGACATCTAAGCATATTCTTGGCTTCCCTCTACGCTGTGTTTTTCCAATTTTTGACCGAAGTGGCCTCTGCGTTCAGCTTTTCCTAATATTTTAAAATGATGACTTGTGTTACGAGGATATTGGAACTTACGGAGGTCAAGCGGATATATGCATCGATTTACCATTTCCTGTTTTCTACTTTGGTGTGAAAATTCATCGCAGATTACTAACGATGTCGGCCTTATAACGTTGGTTTACTGCACTAAACTGATATAAGTTAACTGTCACTTCCATTTCATCAGGTATTGATTTCCAGGCGGTTATAGCATGGGCAAATCAGTGTGGATTTGGGCATTTTTCATATTATTGGTTCACAAGCAGAGGGCAGACGTCTGCAGAGGTATTTATATTTTTAAGTAAATATATCACCTACTGTCGAATTTCAAGTTCTCTTCGCAAACCCAATCCGGCGGAACCCACCAACAAACCGTGGCGGACAATTTACTTAACGAGTGACTGAAAGCACGAATTTTGAATTAGGTGAAATATGCTCGAGCTCACTGAAAGTGTCATTTGGAAATACAGAGTTTTCCTAGGATACTTATTACGTCTGCATGCTGAAGTAGATTCGTCACCAACTTCATATATGAGTTCCCCCAATGTAAACATGCAGGGCGATCTAGATTACTAAACACTTTCGAACCCTAATTTTCCAAGCTGCAGTCTTTTTATTTATAAGTACTTTCTCATAGCAGCTATTAGTGCATGCCTATTTCGATTAAACTTTATATCAATATTCGCAACCAAACATTCACTCTTACGACGCGTTTGTTGTGGTAAATGTACATGTGATCCAGGTCCGAATTTACTTTGCGGGCTCGATGATTGCTTCTTTAACGATCCAGACTAATGAGTATAGTTGTTCGTTAAAGCTTTTTGCGATTCGACGAAATGATCAAGCAGTCCAATATCCTGCAAATGAGAACCCGTCGAATTTTCTCAGAATTTTGAGCTGATTAAATTTTCTGCTAAAAAATCAAAACCAGGCGTCAAGCCTCCGGGTCTATCCCATGATGCACTATCAGCGTAATGTCCACTTTCCTTATGATAGAGGCATTTCGATATTAGTTGCTTCAGTGCAGAACAATTTGAGTTCTTGGACAATCGTTATCCTTATCTCATCAATCTCCACATGACTACAGCCGGAATCGCCATTGATCGACTTGTCGCAATTTTTTCTACAAGGACTTCTAGGAATGTTAACCTACAATTCATAACTAACAATAGCCAACCAGCCTAGACCAGCTTTCAGAAAATGATAAAAAGGATGTTCCTGCTCATCTAAGCTCGCAAAGAAAACGAGTTACAACCATCGTAACAAATGCTTTTATCCCGTGGACTTAAGTGTAGTCGCGCGATAAAGTAATGCAGGCGCAGAATTGCTCTTTCCAATCTCCTCTGATAGCTGAGCGACCCCTTCTCATTGGATTTCTTTGATTTCATCTTTAATTTTTGCAATTATTTCAGTTTTGTTTGTTTGTTTGCATGTATTATAATTATATGTATTTTTTTAAATTTTGAATGTTAATATTTTTGTAGCTTCTGGGATTTATTTATAACGCCAATGTCCAACATGTTATGTAAGAGAGCGTGTGAATTTTCAGCAGCTTCCGGATTATTCTCCTCAAGCGAGGCTGCAAAAGTCTTGAAATTTGCTTTAGTGCTTTCATTTGATTTCACCTTCGACACGCATTCCAAAAAGTTTCAGCTTACAGTTTTAAGAACGTGTCGGTAAGAATCAAACATCTTGGGAAATGAAAATTTTCAACCCCCCCTCAAATTTTGCACGTAGTTAGGCACTCAGGGGGATGCACAATAATGCCCTTGCTAAAGCTTGCAGCACTCTTGTTGCCATGGTAACAACGGCTGCTTGCTCGAGGCCAAGGGCCTCATTTTCATACAAAAACATCGCAAAAAAAGTGTAGTAAAATGTTTATTTCTTTATCTCAAGCTAAATACAACATTACCGATTGGTATTTCTAGCATAAATAGTGACATTATTCGTCTTTACTTTGATGCATTCAATTTTCCCTGGAAGGGAATGTGAACACACCTATAGATTACTTATCTTGGTACAGTTTCGGTCATTTTTGCTGTAGGGTAAAACAGAGAAAACGTTTGTCCAAATTTCCCCAAAAGTACACCGATTCTGGAACTGAAACTACGCACTTAGTTATAAATAAATATTCTAGTTTTTCAATATGTAAAAGTCCCTGCGGGCCGGCCTCTTTTTCGTAGTGGCAATTCGCGAACGAAGTTCAAAAATCAGATACTGCGTATATTGGCAATGTTTACATCTAATCTTCTCAACAACAAACGTTTCAGATGAATGAAAAGTGCAAGATATTTAAAGAATGTTATCTTCTGGGAAATATCCCGAAGAGAAATCTTGCCTCTAGCTTTGTATAGGTAATCGCATGGGACCGAGTAAAATTAAGGATTAATATCACGCGTGTTTTCAGAAGTTGCAGAAATTTCAGCAACTTCTAAAAACACAAGTGATATTAATCCTTAATTTTACGAGGACCCATTGCGATTACTTGTTAATGAAATTGAGGGAAAAATTACTGAATTTCTGAATGCGCTCTTCAGTAATCAGTCGACATAAAACTGCCCCAGTGTTCGGTCGAGGACATCGCTCTCATACGCTTCCAAATTTGCCTGGAAGTTTCTTTCATTCGCCTGCTTTTTAAAAACGTTCTTCCAGTACTCCGCGCTTTTCCTCCTGTTTTCGTTTTCACTTTTGTCTATTAATTCTTTGATATATTCTTCGTCAACTATCTCGAAACGAGAAACCATTGTTACGGAAAATCTTCATCAACAACTTTTCGATAGCAGAAGGTGTTGCTAGGCAACCTGAGCACCAATCATGAGCTAGTAATTTTACACTCTTCTCAAGCAAAATTAAGAAAAAATACCCTCCTCTTTCACCAATCAGCATTCAGTAATTTTGCCCTCTATTTTATTAAATATTTAATCGATCAACCTTCATGCAGGACTACCCGACGTAATTACAAACATGTACCGTAAATCGTGTGCATATCATCCAGATTCCGAGTACTGTGCCTTCTTTCGTGGGAATTTGAGCAATCTGAAATTCTCTGACGATACACTGTTATACATGTCTGTCATTTGAAACATGTTAAAGATTGCTGATCTACACGAAACTATCGTAACATCGGTCATTAGTCATAACCATGTACGCTATTACAATGGCGTGACGCTGGATTTCTCCATGAAGTTTCCAACAGGTCGCTCCAAAGAAGATAAGAAATGGACATTTTTCGATATTTAAGCAGATTTCCGCGCATTCTGAAGTAAAAACAACTAAAAAAAAAAAAAACAGAGGAAATCCTTGATTGAAAGTTCGTAGACACTGGGAGAGAGAGAGCATCAATCGCAACTTGCCAGTGATAGTACTTCATGTAAAACCCAGTTGCCGGCAGGTTCGGGCAGTTGTCATTTCTGGGTGAAACCAACTGAGATATTTCGAATCATCTGAAAACTGTTAGAAAACTTTCAGAAAATTTGCATTAGATATGATAACGAGAGACTTATCACCATCGCAGAGCAATCGAGTCAGGCAATGTTTCCTTCCATATCTTGATTAAGGAAAAATCAAAACAAAGTTGAAATAAAAGATTTAGTGAAATCATAATGTCATAATTCCACCTTTCAAACAACTCATTATCCACACACAAATCGCAACTCGTAAATGGAATGGAACTCCCCAAGGTTAATATGTAACCTGGATTGCTTCAGGTTCTTCAGGAAAAAGAACAGTGATTTCATCACGATTATTTTCCACAATTTTTTTCCTAGATATCTTTTATAAGCTTACGGAAAGATGAATATAACGCAATCTTCCTGTGATTTACATGACAGGAAGTCAAAGGTCTGTTTCATTTCCCTGGTTCATCAATGACAAATCCTATAATTTTCCTCATCAGTAACAAATCTGTCGTCGGTCCATGCGACACCGGAAAAAGACATGTAAAACCCACCACCTGCGCGAAAACTATCAGAAGTGGAGATTTTGGACAACTCAGTTTCCCCTCATTACACCAAATGGAACAGGGATTTTATGACGATCATTTTCCACAACTTTAACTTTTTTAGGGAATCTTTTACATGCTTGAACAATTTTTTGGCTTTGAGCCTTGAGATTTCTTTTTCTTGATAACAAACTGCTATAATAAGTGCCTACAAAATTGGTAGGTACTTGGTGAAATCCTTCATACATGCATCGATACAAAAGAGCATATGGGAATACATGGTCAGTTGCAAACATAACACACATTAAGGATTACACAAATACTTGCCACAAAATTGCAAAGGTTAGTACTACCGCTGACAAGTTGTGATTTATACTCTCACCCTCAGTGTTTTCGAACGTTCAATCAAGGATTTCCTCTGTTTTTTCTATTTTCTCTTTTTGGTTGTTTTTACCTCAGAATGCGCGGAAATCTGCTAAAAGATCGAAAAATATCTATTTCTCGTCTTCTTTGGAGCGACCTGATAGAAACTTCATGGAGAAATCCAGCGTCACGCCATCGTGATAACGTACATATTTATGACAAATGAACGGTGTTACGATAGTTTCATGTAGATCAGCCAACTTTAACATGTTTCAAATGACAAACAAGTATAACGGTGTGTCGTCAAAGGATTTCGGATTGCTCAAATTCCCACGAAAGAAGGTACAGTACTCGGAATCTGGACGATATGCACACGATTTAAGGTACCTGTTTGTAGTTACGTCGGGTAGTCTTGCATGAAGGTTGATCAATTTTTTTTAAATATTAAAACTAGAGGCGAGATTTCTCTTCGGGATATTGCTCAGAAGTTAACATTCTTTCAGTGTCTTGCACTTTCCATATGTCTGAAACGCTTGTTGTTTAGAAGGTTAGAGGTAAACATTGCCAATTTATGCAATATCTGATTTGGAGCTTCGTTCGCGAATTGCCACTATGTAAAGTAGAGGCCGGCCCGCAGAGATTTTTACATATTTAAAACTAGAATATTATAACTAACTAAGTGCGTAGTTTCAGTTCCAGAATCCGTGTAGTTTTGGAGAAATTTAGACAAACGTTTTCCCTGTTTTACCCTACAGCAAAAATGACCGAAACTGCACCAAGATAAGTAATCTATTGGTGTGTTCACATTCACTCCCTGGGAAAATTTAATGCATCAAAAAAAAAAGACGAATAATGTCAATATGTATGCTAGAAGTACCAATCGGTAATGTTGTATTTAGCCTGAGATAAAGAAATAAACATTTTACACTTTTTTTGCGATGCTTTTGTATGGAAATGAGGCCCCAGGCCTCGAACAACCAGCCGTTATTACCATGGCAACAAGAGTGCTGCAACCTTTAAAAAGAGAATTTTTGTGCATCCCCCCTGAGTGCCTAACTGCATACAAAATTTGAAGGTGGGTTGAAAATTTTCATTTCTCAAGAAGTTTGATTCTTACAGACTCGTTCTTAACTTATCATAGTTGCATTAAATACTACCCTCTAAATTAAAAAAAAAAAAAAAAAGAAATTGGGAAGGGGGGAGCGAGAAAAAAGAAACAGCAGGAACGCACGGGTGACCGAAAGGCAACTTACAAATGACCGGTGTTACGATAGTTTGGGAAGGGGGGAGCGAGAAAAGAGAAACAGCATGAACGCACGGGTGACCGAAAGGGAAATTACTTTTTACAAGTCAAGTGAGATACCTTTTTTTGCTAAGTTGTCCTTCTCCTTTGTTATGCTACTCACATGCCGACACCCTACGAAACGGTGAGTGCCATCATAACATAGCATGCCAGTTGCAAATAGAATCTAGAGTACTCAGCATTATCGGATAACTCATTCAGTTTACTCTATTACCCATTTCTCCCTTTATTTTTACTCAACTCAAGTCAGTTTATCCAAGGCTTCAGCCATTAACATAGTGTCAGGTCTCTCGTTTATCCCAGTGCATCTGTCTGGGCTGATATTGTAAGTTGGTCTCACTCAGTAAAGGTTTAGGAGTCAGTTCCTGTTCTAATCGATTTATTTTTCCTATCAGTATAGGCGAACCTTTTGCTAACTTCATATCCTATATTTTTCCTCATCAGCTTACGCCGTTTCACTCAGAAGGAATCACTCTGGTGAGTGCAAATCATTTACATGTAACTAGCTGAAAGAAAATTAAAAAATATACTTTAAATCTGTAATTATTTTCAGCTCAGGCTTTTGCCTTATACCTAAAAAATATTAGCCACTCGGATTTTTCTCAGGTTGAATGAGCCATAAGGGCTTGTGCTGGCGAGGAAATAAGAATACAATCAAATATTTGACTATAACTAGACGGCTTTGAAGAGCTTTATATAAATTTCTTATACTTTTTTAAGATTTAACAGGTCACTTTTGGAATGACTTACCAGTCTTACTGGATAATGGTCACAGCAACATTTAGCTGGCTCCCTTCAGACTGGGAGGGCACTGTTCTCTTTGTAACTCACTTTTTTTTTTTTGTTTTTGTTCTATTTCAAGCTTCAATATCCATTCCGCCATGTTTGCTGATTTTAAGCTCATCAAACATTATCGCTCTTGACCATGAAACTTCGGATATCACTTCCATCAAAGCAGGTCTGTCAGAGGCAGTGACGTTGGATTTTCATTTCAGCCTGGGCTACATATTCTGGAGTGATTTGATTGAGCAGAGTATTAAACGCTTCAGCATTGATAAAGGGATTACGACAACGGTTATTGCAAATACTGGCGTTTGTGCTGGCCTGGCAGTTGAATGGAGGACATCTCGATTGTATTGGACAGACAGTACACTTAATAAAATATTCGTATCCGACGTTCATGGCTTAAACCAACACAGCCTTATCACAAAACTGGAAGAACCAAGGGATATAGCCCTGGATCCCGATAATGGGTATGTTTTTGACATTTGACAGTTTGATAAGAAGTTTTTAAAAATGTTTATATGCTAATGGTTGTTGTCTTGCAATGTAATAGTCTGATATTTTGGGCTGATTGGAGCCGTGGAGTTTATCCCAAGATTAAGAGGGCCTCATTAAATGGAAGTCAAATAATAGCCATTGTATCGGTGAACCTTCAGCAACCCACCGGTATTAACCTCGATCGAGGAAATAGACGCATTTTCTGGGTCAACTCAAGAATTGGCACTGTGGAATCTGTGGACTACGATGGTGATAGCAGGAGGGCCCTATTCAAACAGAGTGATCTATATCCGTTTGGATTAGCGTTTTCCCCCCCTTTTCTTTTCTTGACCGCCTGGCAAACGTTGAAACAAGTTTACCAACTAGACGCCATCACTGGAAAACTGCTCCGAAGCTACAACCTCAGCAACCAGAAGCCCATGGATATCGTGGCATACGATGAGTCCAGGCAACCTCCAGGTATTAAGTCGAATTGAAGTTCTTTACATAGAATACAAACATCCCGAGTCTTTTAAACATATCATTTCAGGAAGGCTAGATAAACAGGAAGGGCTTCCCAACCCCCTCCCTCTCCTCCCCTGCCCCATCCACCCCTCCCTCATCGCCAACCCCTTTCCCCTCCTCCTCTCCCCCATCGCCACCAGGTTGTGAATAAGTGCCTCCTTATATTATATACTGCATATGGCCTGGTTAATTATAACCTAGCAGTAAAATCCCACTCGTATATTTTAATTGGTTATAGACGTTTGCAGTGCTTTTGAGGCTAAGCTATGGATAATTCAATTTTTGTCTCCCTAAAGTTGTTCTCACTGTCTACTTTTTCTGATTAATAGCCCACCTTTAGAAAAAGAGACATTTTTCAATTCTTACAACGATTTTGCGGTTTTGTTTTGTTTTTATTTTGTTTTTGGTTGGTTTTGTAAGCTTCTAATCCTTGCACCGTGAATAATGGAGGATGCAGTCATTTTTGTGTCCCCAAATCATGTGGCTACAAATGTGTGTGTTCCACTGGTTTGGCTCTGAAGCAAGATGGGAAGACATGCCAAGAAAGTAAGTCAACAATATTTTAAAAAATTTGTCCCCTTCTCCACATTTCTCATTGGACTTTTTCTATTTCACAAGTTTGAGTCACATAATTCAGAACGATACCTCGATTTCCTTCTTTTCATTTACCACCCTACCATTACGTTAAAAAATCGATTTCGTGGTAAAGAGGGGTACTTACACTTGGAATCCCCATATTTAGACTCCAATGTTGTCGCTCGAATATTCTAGGTCCAGTTCATGTAAAATATTTGGTTAGTTTTGCAGTGATAATATTGGCTGTAAGACCCAAGTGACCTAAGTCGGTCGTGATTGGTCTGTTTCGATCCGTAAAGATCAAAATTTAGCCTCTTGTTTCTTCAAACTGTTATCTATAGGGCATATGTCGTGGTAAATTTGATGAGGGGAGATGCGGTTCTGACTTGGAGCATTTAGTGCCCTCGATGCAAATATTGTACCGGCAGCAATTCTCACTTTGGAAATCCCTGAGTGAGGGATTTTCTCTTGATCGTCTCTGGATTATGAACCTTTACTGTGGTTTCCTGCTGTAAAGGTTCTTTTTTTGTAACATTCTCGAAACACTCAGACAGTTTTTATTTGATAAATCGAGAGGGGGCTGTTCTTAGGGATGCATAAACTATGTGCAAATTACCGTCCCTATCTTTGTAATAAAGTAACTTTAATGTTTTGATGAAATGTGTTGCGAATTAGAAGTGAACCTTTGTTCTTGAAAATTACCTCATGATTTACGTAATTTCGTTTGCAGAAGTGAAGAAATTTGTCCTTTTCACTGATTTTGAAGCCAGATCTATAAACATGATTTCCCTTGATGTTAACTATTCCATCGCTCAACCCTTATTGACCGATCTTTATGATCAGCGCCCTACTGCTGTGGATTTTGACCCTGTCGAAGATCGCTTGTATTGGTCTGATGTTGGAAAAGGTCGTATCATGAGTGCCTTTACAAATGCAACTTCAGTGAAGACTCTGTTTAGTTGTAACTTCTCAACTGGTTTAGCCATTGACCACGTGGGTCGAAACATTTATTGGACCGATGCCGGCACGAACAGAATTGAAGTTGGTCGGCTTGATGGAACCAAAAGAAAGCTTTTACTTACAAATGAACTTGAGGAGCCAAGGACTATAGTGCTGGATGAGAACAATGGGTAAATAATAATACAGCTAAAATTTAAGCTACATGTCAATTCAAATAAAATGATAAAGAAAATCACTTTCATTCAACATTGAAAAATAATTTTTTCTCCTTTTCACTGTTTTCTCTTTTTTTTTTTTCATTTTCTTGAAGGATAATGGTCTGGACTTCCTGGGGTTCAAAACCTAACATAGCCAAAGCCAACATGGATGGCTCAGGAAGACATACTATAGTGACGAGAAATCTATCTAGGCCTGATGGACTTACTATAGATCGAGTTACAAATTGTGTCTATTGGGCTGATACTCAGCAGAATACCATAGAGATGTCCGATCTTAATGGGGGCCACAGACAGGTCATACTGTCGTCTGCAGCTTGCATCAAACCTTTTCGCCTGGCATTCTATCAGGACGCGCTTTACTGGACAGATCCCAGTTACAAGAGGATAGAGCTTTACGATTTAGTCGATGGGAAGCGGAAAACGGTAGTCCTTGCTATTCAAAAGCCAACAGATATTCGTGTCTATGATTCATCAATTTTATATTCAGGTAATAGATTGATAAGATATATGCACCATGTTTCCCTCAGCTTTGCATCAAAATAACTGGTCTAATTTTCCTTTTCAAATAAATCACTTTCAAATAAACTGTCCTCTGGTGAAATAAGCAGATAAAGGTAACGTAATAATTTGAATATATGAGCTTTTGTTCATCTTTCAAACCGGCAGTCTAAATCCCACAGGTATCAACGAACCCTTTTTATTCCACTAATTTATTCGTGCTTTTCTCGTTGCCATGTTCCCACCAATAACGTAGCTCCATTTTCTGCCTTTAAAAGCACAACCCACAATTCCTCTATTCGCTCCGACGAACGGCTAACGCTCGAAACGTCAGCTTTTATAATCGTAACGATGGCCAATTTACCATTTCAATTTTATTGATATATCCAAATTATTTCGTTACCGCCACCGACGCAGCCCAAACAGTTTCCTTAGAAACTATCAGCCTTTATTTAAAGGTAACGTAGCTCGATAAACAGAAGGGCGTTCTGTTGAGAGAGTTGAATTTCAACTCATAGTGGTTGGGTTGACTAAAGTATCATCACTACAAACATTTCTCCTTTTTATAATTTTTTTTGCCACTAAAAGACTCACACCCGTGTGTTCAAAACAATGGTCTCTGCAGTGATTTTTGTCTCCTGAAGCCGGAGGGATATCGGTGTGCGCGTCCAACAGATGTTGCGCCAAAGTTTGTTGGGAAAAATTTTGACAATGGTGAGAATGCTTGTTTCATTTCTTTTAACTCTACCTTGTTTTGGTCAATCAATATGATTTCAGGGAGAAGGATGGAGGCGTCACTCAAAAATTATAATGGGCACCTCAGGGATACAAAAATTAACTATGAAATCAGTTGAATCTTTATGTGTCCAGGAAGTCAGGTCATCGTGCTCCGCTATCTAAGAATTATTGAAAAATACGTGCTTTGAACAGAGGACGAATGGCAAACTCCTTGAAAAAGAAACAGCTTATTCGGAAAAAAGTAACAGACATCTAATAAAAACGGTAACCTTATCGCCAGCATTACCATGCCTTTTACTGGTAACAGTGCCATCACTTTTGCTACAACCAAAAAGGTAGATAATTTGATGGCAAAAAAGGTGCCCGTTTGGTGAATGAGTCAATATCTGTATTCTAGTTTTCCTTCTGTTTTATCTACAACGACTTACTGACATTATTTCCGTTCGTGACAGGAACAATATTGCATCCAACTGTAAAACTAGCCCCGACCAATTTTATTCATTCCTCAATTTCCTCAAGTTCCTCAAGTTCCTCAAGTTCCTCAAGTTCCTCAAGTTCCTCACGTTCCTCAAGTACCTCAACTACTGTGCTCGGAGTCTTGGTTGCTTCCTTTGCAATAATTCTTATCGTGTTCACGGTTTACATATCTCGTCGTAAATTTCGGGCAACGATACAGCGCCGGTAAGTTCTTTATTAGCCTATCACTGATCTAAAAATGACACTTTAAAGTGCACCAAAACCCAAAACTTTTTTTTCGCTTAACGAAATAAGCTTATTTTTTGGAGTATTTCTGTGCAAAAATTGTTTAATTTGCTTAAATCTTTAATTTTCTGTGCCCAGTCAAAATATGGAAAATCGGCCGCCATCTTGCCCCACGACCGAGTTTAAAGAGGAATGGCTCTGGCGGGTAATGTGACGTCAAATCGAGAACACGAAAGTCTGCATTTCACACATTTTCACTT